TGACTGTAGAACTGTTCATAATCCCTTCTCTCGTTGACTAATTAACTCAGCGATGTCCACATTATAACTCGGAAATGTCTTCGGCGGTAGCCACACTGGAACTCGATCGTAACGCACTGTACAGCTCACTTATATAGCTGCAGTGCTTGCCTGTGGCGTAATGAGTGCCACGTCACAGTAGAACGTTGATTACGGGTACGTGGCGGTGCGTGTTACGTCACCGCGGAGGGCTGGCGGGGAGCGCTACGTTACCGTGGGGAGGAGGGGGGAGGAGAGCGCTGACTTATCCGCCGCGTCACTGATGGTGGGGGGGGGGGTTCTCAGTCGCGCAACATGTTACAATATATATACAGTGCTTGAGGTGGAATGAAAATAGAACCGGGATGCCATCCCGCCGCATCCCACCCCACCTCAAGCCCTGGGTATTGTACATTGCATTTACTGCCAAAGAAGTAACGGGATGCTTTTAAGCCATTTAGAAAAGAACCGGGATGCCATCCCGCCGCACCTCAGGCCCTGTATATATATATACATACATACATACGAGGGTCATACTGAAAGTCATTAGCAACAATTTTTTGTAAAGTAACATGCTTTATTATTGACAAACCAAATACACCACCTCAATCTACAGACCTTTCTTTATTTTTCCACATAATCACCACTTCTTTGTACACATTTCTCCCAGTGTGCTGGGAGTTTGAAAATTCCCCTTCTGTAAAATTCTGTTCCAGCCATCTGAAGACACTGACGCGCTGTTTTCTGAATTGCCTCCCATGTCTCAAAACGTTGTCCTCACAGCTGATCCTTCACAAATCCGAAAGATAGTAGTCAGAGGGTGACAGATCAGGGCTATAGGAGGGGCGTGGAAGAACTTCCCACCCCATCTTTGCAATTGTTTCCAATGTGAGGCGAGCGGCATGGGGGCAAGCGTCATGCAGGATGATGTTTCGTCCCGGATGTTTATTGCGCAATGCACGACAGAGCTTGTGCAGCGTCTG